AATCTATTTTTCTAGTAATCCCCTCGCCTTCTGTCACTTGTCAGCTTTTGTCCTCTACTTTGATGGCAGAGGTCAATTTATGTTCCTGGGGAAAAGGGAAGATGGGTTGTGTTGTGGAAATAAAAAGTTTATTTGCTTCTTTTGTGGAGTCCTTTCCTTTAGATGAACAAAAACAGGATGAGACAACATTTTTTTCCATAGTAAGCCAGTTCCTCTAATGTGATGCCAAAGAACAGAGGACTAATTGTACCTTCTTGTGATAACCTGCCTTTTGCACTGGTCACATTTGGTGAGCCCTCTTTCTCAAGCATGACCTTATTCCCATAGACTGATACTCATTCCCTAGACCCATCTGAATGACCTACAGTAGTTGTTTTTTTACTGGCACCCTCTTCAGGATGCACTTGAAGATGTTTGTTTGCTGCTATTGTGGCTTTAGGACTATGGTTTTCCCAAGAATCTTCACATTTCCAAAGTCTTTCTGTGTGATTTTATCTAGCTGAAATACCATAAAAGTTGAAGCTAAAGCCAGAGATCTCATTACCATTATGAGCTGACAGAAAAGGAAATGGAAGATCTGTACAGGCTACATCAACATGCTGCATGTTACTTACTTACCCACCACTTGAAGAAAAAAGCCAGCTGTGATTATATGTACAAATACCTGCAGACCACTCTGTACAATTTTTAGTGTCCAACAATGGAAGGAGTAAAAATTATTACGCAATTCTTCTAGTGAAGAGTTGCTTCATCATAAATGGATTCAAAAATCTCCAACAAAAAGACCCAACTCGACAGACTAACCTGAGGAGTTTCAGAATATTTGTTTTGTAATCGGGCTTTGAGGAATGACAAAATGCCTATTTGTTATTTCTTTATAAGCTAGGACTGAGGTTTTACTATTCCTGAAGAACATTTTCGCCAGGCTTAAGGGAGGCCTAGAGGATCTATACTCGAGACACAGGATATTGTGATGTAGCATAGCATTACAAAGTAGCTTTTCTTGTTTATCAGAAAAAGACACTTTCTAAAAGTCAGAAAACCAATGTTTTATTCCTAGAGCTCTGCCATATTTCTAGCGGGTGCCGATGGTCACCTGCCACACGCGCACCAGGTTGTCTGTGTAGCCGGCAAACAGAGTCTGCAAGGGAGAAAGGACAATGATAGGTCATGTCAGAGCCACAGAACTCTGCATTTCTAGTAATAAAGATGGCCTTTCTTTTAAGATCCCCAATCTCCTAACCACCAGGTTGTAGGCAGTATATATTCCTAGAGAAGCCAACAGCTGGTATTAAGGATTCATACTTTTGTAAAATGGTTATCTGAGGTGTTAACTGAAGGCAGGTAATCACTGCCTGCTAGATCAATTTTCCTTCCAATTCGGGAACATGTACTCTATTCACTGGCACAGCTAATCTGGTCCTCCCAAATCACCCTGGCTAATTTTGTCATTTTACTTTATGTCAAAGACACACCAAGAGCATAAAGGGAGAGAGAAAAGGTAGAAGCCAAGTCACTTAAGGAGAGACCTACTTACCTGACCATCAGCAGACCAGGCCAGAGAGGTACACTGGGGTGGCTCTGCCTTGCTGCTGGTACTGATAACTTCTTGCTTTAGTTCATCTACAATGATCTTGCCTTCCAAGTCCTGGGGAAGGAGCAAAATCAGGATAAGGAGGGACTCTGTTACAAGCATTGGCGGGGAGCGGGGGGCAGGCGGGTAGAGGTTGAGGATGTTGCTGAACAGCCTAAAATGCACAGGCGTGCCTCCCTTCCTCCCCACCAGAACAATCTAGACCAACATGTCAACTGTGCTGAGTTTGAGTAAATTGTTGTAATTTGCCATCCCCTTTAGTAGACAAATATCTGCCACCACTGTAAATCCCAATCTTGGGAAGCTGTTAACTTGCTCTTCCTTGATCTCCACTGATAGCCCCATGGTTGTTCAGGAAGCTTGAATCCCATCAGTGACATATGAGGAAATCACAACATTGCCAGGGCTCAGAGTACAGCCAGGTGCTCGGCCTTAACTATAGCCCACACTCACCCAGATCTTGATGCTGGGGCCTGTGGCAGCACAGAGCCAGTATCGGTTAGGACTGAAGCACAGGGCATTAATGATGTCCCCACCATCAAGTGTATAAAGGTGCTTGCCTTCGTTGAGATCCCACAGCATGGCTTGGCCATCCTGGAAAGATAAGGAAAGGGAATTAGGGCAATATGAAACCTATTCCAGATGTTAATCTCAACAGTCTCAAAATTCTGTCCCTTCCCCCACAAATGTCCCAAAAGCTAAGGATTCAAATACCAATATTGATCTCTGAAAGCCTTTCCTTTCATGCAGGAAACCTCACCAACCCTACGTCTCTGACAACTTCTAAATAACTACAATCAGTTCTAAAAACTGAAACCTACTAATCAATAGCTTCAAGAAACCAGCTTTACTGAAAATAATCTTTTTGTTCCAAACAGTATGCCTTATCTATGTCATTTCTAGAAAGCAATCTTAAGAAATCTTGGATTGCTATCTCATTATCATAAGTATTCTTTCTAAAACACTGTCCCCCACTGAGTAGTAACTCCCAGTTCCTGAATACCTTCCCTCCAGAAGCGCAGAGGGATCCATCTGGAGAGACAGTTACAGTGTTCAGGTAGCCCGTGTGGCCGATGTGATTGGTCTTCAGCTTGCAGTTTGCCAAGTTCCATACCTAGGTTTGGGAGGTTGGGGGGTAACAGGTGAAGAACCTGGCTCTGAATCCACTGGGGTCAGGAGGGCTCAGGACAAATGAAAAAGGCATGGCACCTTATTTAAAAGCATTCCAGGACAGGGTGGCTATTTTTCATTCTATCAGTAACAAAAAGGTTAAAAGAATTTGTCTTGGTCACCCAAGGACAATTAAGATTAAAAAAGATAACAAATGTTCTGTGTGTTGCTTTATGGGGGACACTGGGCTTAATTAGCTACTTCAGAGAAAGTATTAAGAACTAATGGTCTGTACTTAGAAGACAGCCATAGTAAAAGCCAACTGAGGGACAAAGCCTTCGAAGTTAGAGCTTATGACCACCTGGGAGGCAGTGGGAGAATATTCTGGCTGGTAAAGGCCCTACACCCTGGTTCCAAGCTCACCTTGACCAGCTTGTCCCAGCCACAGGAGACAATAATGGGATTGCTGCTATTGGGTGAAAATCGGACACAAGATACCCACTCCGAATGGCTCTCGTCCTGCAGAAGACAGAAATCAGGAGAAACGATCCTGGTCCCCATGAAACCCACCACCCCTTCCCTCAGTTACATGGGAAGTATTCACACCCCCAGAACCCAAATCTTAGTATTAACAAAACCCTTTAGAGTCCAGGCCAGGCTTGAAATCACCACATACTGGCAAGATGAGAAGAATAGAGAATCTTCAACATGTGCTTTCTACATGTGCCTTCACAGTTACCTGGACAGTATACTTGCATACACCCAGAGTATTCCACAGCTTGATAGTTTTATCTCGGGAGCCAGAAACAATTTGCCGGTTGTCGGAGGAGAAGGCCACACTCAGCACATCCTTGGTATGTCCTACAAATCTGCGTGTGGTGGTACCCCTGAAGAGGAGGACTTGGTCAGTCTCTAAATGCCGCAAACATCCTTCACATCAGACTATTTCCCTGGCCTTTTCGGCTCACTGGAGCTGCCATTAATCACATGAGTCTGGACATGGGTCTGATCACAACAGGCCCACGGTTGAGCATATGCCAGAGAATCCCTTCAGAATTGCAGGACATGTCCTCACTCCCGCATGGGGATTGGCTGACAATGTCATCTGTCATCACCGGGATCCTCCATTATGCCTGACCATCCAAAGACTGAGCTCCCAAGCTTACCAGCTTCAAACACTCGCCAACTCCCCACCACAGTATGTGGCAAAACTGCTCAACCAGCCCACTCCTAACAATTCTGCCTAACTAATTAAAAGCAGCAAGGATAGAAACCAAACAAACCCAAGTATCTTTTCTAGGTACTCTCTTGCCCTACAGTTCCCACAATGAACCTCACTGTCCCTTGGAAACCACCTCCCAACACATGTACATCATTTCTGCCCAGCTTTTTCCCAGTGCCCCAAAGTTAATTGACCAGCTACTTGCGTTGTGAGATCCCAAAGACGAAGAGTTCCATCCCAGGAGCCCGAGAGGGCAAACTGGCCATCTGAGGAGATGACCACGTCACTAACAAAGTGGGAATGGCCCCGAAGAGCACGCTGCGGGATGCCATAGTTAGTCTCATCCCTCGTCAGCTTCCACATGATAATAGTCTTATCTAGGGGAGGTAAGAGAGAAAACCCAGTGAGGAATCCCATAGCCCCTTGCTGATCTACTGGATAATCCAGGATCCCTCAAGTTCATTGGTGGACATAAAAGATAACAAAGACACACAAAGGTGGAGGAGAACCACAGGCTGAGAGCCGTTATTAGTCAAGGACAAGTGATTGGCTATTCAAAAAAGAGTCAAGTAGAACTGAGTAATGCCATAAAGATTAAACTCAGGGATACAGAACTTTAGCAGATTTTGGATGCTCTTTTCTAACATTCAGATCAATTAAACATCTTTTTTGAGTCTGAGATCTAAAGATCTGAGATCTGAGATCTAAAGCATAAACACTACTGCTTGGGTGTGGGAAGACTAGCTGTGAGATTCTTAACAATTGCTGCTGAGGGCTGCCACAAGTGCTGAATTTGGAAAAGTTGCTTTACACGCTACCAGACTGGATGCTTTCAATGAAACATGTTAGACTGAACAAACTTTCCAATTAAGCACCAAACATTACCCCAGCCTCAGCCTACTTTTAATAGTGTGGGGGCCAACAAAAGGCACAAGAGGCCTCCAACCGCTGCCAAGTTCAGAGAATGAAAAAACCGAAGGCAGGGGGAAAAAAAGGCACGGGCCAGCAAGGAGATTGGAGACACGACTTTCCCTTGGAGTCCATCCACTACCCACTAAGCACAGGGCCGGGCAGAAGCTCAGAAACAGCCTCTGGATCTCAGCACAAGCACTCAGATGGCATGTTGGGATCATCACCGCCCCGCCCGACCCCGCAGGCTTCTGTGCACACTCAGGCACACCTGCGAGAAGGTGGGTATGAAATAAACTCCAACCCTGCAATCCTCCTGCCAGCCACGAGCTAATCTAGGTCTCCATCTCCGCCAAGTGGGAATGCCTCACGGGCTTATCCGGGCTGAAGCCTAGGCCCGGGTCCGCATGCCCCAACTCACACCGGGACGGAGTTTTCCAAGCCGCCAACTCGCGCGCCACTGGCAACGCCAGGCGACGCGCGCAACCCACTCATCCCTCAATCCTTTGCCCCGCACCTTAGCCCGTACCTCGAGAGGCGGACAGTATCATGTCCGGGAACTGGGGAGTGGTTGCGATCTGAGTCACCCAGCCGTTGTGGCCCTTGAGGGTGCCACGAAGTGTCATCTGCTCAGTCATGGCGGCGGCGAGTGCAGGTGTCGCCGCGGCGACAAGGATGGAATTGGATAGTTCAGAGAGACCTGCAACACAGCCACTATCGCCCCGGCCCTGCGGAGGAAAAGGGAGAAAAGGCCCCCGCCGGAACCGGAAATACCCGCCTGTTCGAGCAAAAATGGCGGCCCCCATAATGCATTTCTGCTTAAGATGGCGGCGCCACGTAGGGCAAAGGGCGAGGTGAAAAGACAAAACTTCATGGTTCCCTCGCTACGCAACATAGTTTGGCAGTGCTATACAAAAACATGCTGAAACTAACTCCACCAAGCGTTTAAAAAGGCCCCTCAAACGTCCACTGGGGCATGATGTGTAAGAAGCGGAAGACGGTAAGCGCACAGCATATTCCCATAAGGATCGCCCTGCGCCTTCACTGCCCCCACGTGGCACAGCGCGAACCCCGCCCTTTCCGCTTGGTGCCTCGGAGGGCGACGCTGAGGGAGCTTAATTTCGAGGTGAGAACTGTGAGTAACGGTAAGCAATATGAAAAATATGGTAGTCAGCTTTTAAAGTACACTGCTCAGGTGAACTACTAAACCCTGACGGATTTCCATCGCAGTGGACAGCTGCTCCCTCAAGAGGTTTTTGCTCTGAGGGAATTGACTGAGGCACTCCCTGTCCGGAAGGACTTAGTCCAGGCAGAAGTTCAGACAGGAATGGGTTACGGAACGGAAAACCCGGGAGGAACGAAAAATCGGCCTGTGGGCTGCTTGTCGGCCACCCAGCTCTCGCCGTGGCAGGAGTGCGGAGAGGCGTCGCAGAAACTAGAAGGAGAGGAAAGGCCTCCGGGTTCTGACTTGTGCGGACTCGGGTCGAAAGCCGGCTCTGAGCCTCACCACCTCACAGAAAGGTCGGCCGGTCTGCGGGTCCAGGCGTGCCCCCAAGGAGGTGCCCTCAGACTGGGAAGCAGTGGAACATGGTTCCCGGGCTGCCTACCGGCCTCCCATTTAACCGCATGGTATGTGAATATGTGGTGCCTCCCACTACCGCACATCCTTGGTATTAAGAGATGATGCTGGCAGATAGCGCCCTTGTCACAAATTTTTTTAAAGGGGGAGAGGCACAGACCAGGGTGATAGCAGTCGCTGTCATCTATGCAAAATAAGGGGAGATTATACATACGTATTTATTTTGTTTGTAACACGTATTAAGTTTCACATCTGTGAAACGAGGTTGTAAATAATAGTACCTACCGAAAATGGTGTTGAGGAGAGTAAATGAGTTAAGATAGGTTTAAGCGTCCAGAGCAATGCCTGGCAGAGTAAATGCAGGCAAACTTAAACTCCCTAGCTCTTGTTTTAGGTCTTGGGGGATACAGCTGTGAGCAAGACGGTGAGGACTTGGTTTTCTTGGAGTTTACATTTGATGGGGTGAGTGGAAAGGAGATTGAAAGGGAAATTGGAGCAAAGAGAGGAAGGAGAAGTAGGAGACAGCCCTGTGGATATATGGGAGGATAAGGTTCCAGTCAGAGGGACCGAATATGACGGCAGGGCAGGAGTCAGTGCCAAAAGTCCTGAGCTGGAGTTTTGGAGCTGCTGAAAACCAAACAGTGGGATGGAGGTGAGGGGCAGTTGACAGGGCCGGCAGGCGTGGGGAAGGACTGTGGCTTCTCAGGGTGTGGGCCTATGTTTCAAGGGTCCCGGTTGTGTACATCACTTGTCTTTTCTCTTTAGCAACACTAAACTCGAACTGCACCCCGACTCACATGTTTTGTTTGTCCTGTGGTCATGAGAGACCCCTACCTTCACCCACACCAATATCCAGCTCGCTGTTCATAGCTCCGGTCATGCCAAGTACTCTGGGCGGTTGGGACAAATGGGGAGGTGAGAGATTCCACGCATCTTCAAGTGGAGATGCACAGTGCAAACACTCCCCTGGCTGTTGGCCTGTACATGCAGAGGATTTGCTCTCAGTTCAAGAACACACTTCCTTTATCTCCTACCTATACTCTCTAAAGAGATCATTCCTTAGTCATATTTACCCCCTCGAGAAACCTCATTTGGCTGTTTTCTTGAATGTTGCCAGGGAGCCCCTGTGGAATCAACATCCCTGAGGTAGGGCCAGGAGTACAGGTTTATTTTGTTTGTTTGTTTGTTTATTTATCAGAGAGAGAGTACAAGCAGGGGGAGTGGCAGGCAGAGGGAGAAGCAGGCTCCGTACTGAACAAGGAGCCCCATGCGGGGTCATGACCTGAGCCGAAGGTCGTCGCTTAACCGTCTGAGCCACCCAGGCATTCCGAGGAGTGCAGGTTTAAAACGAGCCTCCCAGGTCTCAGGCCTGCTCTAGAACGCGACCTTTCGGCACCGCCCGGCCCTTTTCCAGAAACGGTTGGTTCCCAGGCTAGCCCCGCCCTCCCCAGGCCCCCTCTGGGCGGACCCCTTCTTCGAGTCCTCCCCTCGGGCTACCGAGACCAGACCGAGATTTCTGTAGCTGTCTTTGGCCTCCCGCAACCCGAGGGCCTCGCCCTACGCCAGCCCCTTACTCTTTGAGACGGTTCTGGCAGCGCCCCCTCCTGTTGGGCCAAGGCAGGAACTCGGGTTTTGCATTGGAGCCCACCAGCACCGATCTGGCAATGCCAGTGGAGAGGGAGGAATGGGATGTAATGGACTTCCGGACGACCGGACCACAGGATTGGACTTTCCACCTCGGAAGTTTTCCTCCAATCGGTGCCTGGCCTCCCTTCTCTTGGAGAGGATGCCGGCAAGCCACAAAACCACCGAGGGGCCTTCCTGAATCGAGGGAGGCCTGGCCCTGACTCTCCGGACACTTTGGGTGTAGTTGGGTGCAGGGGTTGGGTGCAGGGACCGGGTGCAGCGGGAGCCTTCCCCTCTTCAGCCCAAGCTGGAGTTGAGCCCCATACATGCCTGCTTCCCTCTGGGGCCCCGCAGCTCCCTGCTAGGCGTATGGGCCCACCTGGACTACTCCTCAAGCCTGGCCCCTTCCAGTGGGATGACTTCTCTCGGCTGCGCGATGCATCTTCAGAATAAGCCGCCTGCTTCCCATAACAGTCTGCTGCCTCTGTAGGCATCGGTAGGGCCTCTGGGCCTTTTCATTACACGTGTCTTTGATCTGGCCTCTGGGAGGTGGAAACCTGCTGGAGGGCCCCACCTGACCTTGGGAGAAATTGGGGAAAGTTAATCTGCAGAGTCTTCTTTGTGCTCCTCAGGCCACCCCTCTGGTAAGTTCCCCACCCACTTCTGGTCCCATCCCTTGGGCTGCCCGTCCTCTCCCATGTCCCCACTGGTACCACCTTCAGGCCCAGACAAGGTAAACAAAGGAGAGAAATTGGAAATGCTCTTCTAAGGAAGTCTGTCCCTGGGGTGCCTGGGTGGCTCAGTCGTGAAGCACCTGCCTTCAGCTCAGGTCATGATCCCAGCGTCCTGGGATCGAGCCCCACATGGGCTTCTCTGCTCATCAGGGAGCCTGCTTCTCCCTCTCCAGCTCCCCCTGCTTGTGTTCCCTCCCTCGCTGACTGTCAAATAAATTTATAAAATTTAAAAAAAAAGGGGGGGGGGAGTCTTTCTCACCATTCCTTTTCTGCTGGGAATCCCTAAGATCGACACAGCTGGAAGAAGCCCCTCTCGTTTCCCTGCTAGAGGCCTATGACCTCTTCTAGGAACAGAGGCCTCTATTCCCTCCTGCCAGCATTCAGGAGATGAGACAGGTCTTCCCTTCCATGAGGTGGTGAGGATTATTGTGGGTGATAGGTGAGGGGCTGAGGGAAAGGGCTGTGGCCAAGACCAGAGGGCCTCTGTCAGCTAAAGTAAGTGGCTTCCCTTCATTTTGCTGTTCCTCTGCAGATTCAGTGTGGTTGGCATTGGCATGCCCCATACTCCTTTTGTGGCTACCCTGGCTCTCCCATGCTCTTCCAACTGTCAGTTCTCTCCCACACAGAACACACACATTATTCTGCCTGGAAGGCCCACCATATCCCACCCTCACTTTTCTTAGTTAATCTAAGTTTCCTTCAGGTCTCAACTTAGGTTGCCACATCAGGGAAACCCTCTTGTGACCCTCAAGTCTAGGTTAGGTTCCTCGTTTCATGCCCTCATGGTGATGGTGTTCGGGGCCTTCACAGCACTTAGTTCAATTTGCCCTTATTTGAATCCCTCAGGGCTTTTCCTCAGTGCCCTGAGGTCAGGGACTGGTCTGTTTGGGCTGCATTTGCTGGTAGAGGGTTTGGTTGTGGAAGATTCTAATCTTGGTGACTAGCCTCATAGGCTAAGTAGTTAAGGGCAAGTAGTTAAAGGGTGTTTCAGGCAGAGGGATCACCATGGGGAAGAGGTGTTAAGAGTGGTTTGCATGCAGAGGTTTGGGAGATGGTTTCAAATGGGAAGGTAGGATAGAGTGAAACCCAAGGTGATCAAGAAGCCCCTATCGAGGAGTTGACTAGTAAGGAATTTTGTCCTGAAGCCTAGGACTGTCTCTTTAGGATTATCGTAATCCCTCTCCTGCCTAGACTTGATTTTGCTGACAGTCATTTGTTGTCAGAGTGGAGGGTAGGTTGGAAGAGTGAGACTAGAAAGAAGAGTTTAGAAGCTGGACAGGAGGATCTGTAGGAGAGTCATGAGAGTCCTATAAAAGGAGGCACTGAGAACTTCCTACTGGCCTTATGAGTGAGTCAACATTTCATCTAATCCATATCTCTCCTCCCTACCCCACCTTCTTCACTCCAGTATCTAGAATTGGGCTCTGATTATAGAAACTATTTCATGATGAGGCCTAAAGAATTAAGTTTAAAAAGGTTGGAAGGAAACAGGGGAAGTTCTATTCTTAGGTTCTGTTCCATTATTCCTGGTGAGAGGTAGGGATGTGATATTAAATCAATGCCGGGAACAGATGTTATCAAAAAACCATGTATCATTTCTTTATGTCTCTTGATAAATATTTAGTGTCCATCTTAGGCAGAAATCTGAGGTCTAACAGTCCCCTAGAAAGCTGCTAAGGCATTCTGTTGTGTATTCCCTGGGAGATGGACTGTGGGATTCCCCAGACCCTAGGTGCTTCAGCAGATATGCAGTCAGAGGTTGTGGAAGTGGGCATGACCCAGGCAGGTCTGGACTGTAGTCCAGGCAGAATTATAAATATGCTAGGAGAAGGCAAGCCTCTAGCTTGTTAAAGGATTTAAAACACCATTAGGTGGTAGGGAGAAACAAAAGGTGACCCAAGGTGCCCTTTTTTTCAGCTTAAACCTGGAAGAGAATTTGATAAGAACTAGGGTTGGGAGAATATGTTGAAATGGAACTTTGAGGCTGGCTACTTACCACAAGATAAGAAGGCTGAAGAGGAAACAGTCCTTCCTGCTCATACTTGGGTTAAATAACCAGAGCTTGCTGAGAAATTCCATCCTCTGCTGGAGGGGGAGAGAGAGGATTCTATGTGCTTAAGAAATGCAGACAGAAAGGGGGTGTGACCTCCAGTGATCCTCTTCCAGGTGACCTTTGTCCTTCATTTTTGTGGGTCCCTGCTTGGTACCAAGTGGAATTGTCAATCAGAAGTCTCTGACCAACTCTGCATCTGAGTCCTTTAGGATGGGGTAAAAGATTAGGAAGGCCTAAGCTATGGACGAATAAGAATAAGCCACTCCCTGTTTTTTAAGGCTATTTCTAGCTCATTTTCCTCCTTTGGGAGGGATAGAGGTGGGGAGAAGAGTAGTAACTCTTCCTTCCTTCTTTGCTGGTCTACTGTCACATCTCCTCCTCCAACTTCTCACATGCCAAGATGAGCTATTTCCCCCTGCCCAGGGTTCTCAGACTGTACCTCTGAGGACTATGGTTTGTGGGCAAAGACTATATCATTAAAAGTTAAATTTGTCACCACTTTTAGCTCTCACAGTCTCCTCCTTTTCAGCCCTGTTATTCCGAAAACCTCTCACTTCCTCTTTTCTCATTATCACTACCAGTACAGACTGCTTTCCCTTCTAGGACTCCATGATTTCTTTATCATCCTGTCAGGATTTAGGTGTGAGAGGAGAAAGGGAAGAACCCACTTACCTACTTTAATGCTAGGTTTTGCCCCACATCCCATTGTCAAAAAGTCAGGCACCAAATAAAACCTTATTTATTCTTATATTCCTCCTATTTTGAGGCCCCAGCCCTGGCTCTTTTTTGGGAAGAGGGTAAAACAGTTTGTTTTTTAGCTACTTCCTATTAGAGTTCTCCTCTATCACATTTCTCACATGTGATCCACATGAATCACAAGTGGAACTAGTTCAAGACTGTTTTAGTCACATTTTTAAAAAATACAAGAAGGCCTTCTTTTAAATATTTTCTTCTATGCCCCAAAATACCACCTTTGAGCCTACCTCTCTTGATTGGGAAAAGAGAGTTCCCACTTCTTTTTCATCTTCCCTTTGGACTTGCTTCTACTCCTGAGAGTCCTAGAAAGGACCAGAATTCAACCTGCCTTATTTCTATGGAACTGTACAATTCATTGTGATTTGACAGCCACTAGCCATGTATGGCTATTTCAAATTAATTAAAATTAAATACAATTAAAAATTCAGTTCCTGAGTTGGACTAGACACATTTCAAGAGCTCAAGCTCAAGGTAGCTAATGATACCTACTACATCAAACAGCACAGATTGAGAACACTTCCATTGTTGCAAAGTCCTTTTAGACCTGGTATAGCAGGCTGTCTTATGTCCCCCTATTTGTTACCCTATTTTAGCAATTGGTAAATGTAATAACCTCACTATTACAGGATAACTTTCAAGGGGGGGCGGTCAGGGATTGGGGGTGGAGAATAGCATAGAACTCTAGGTCCTATAAAGATTTCTGGAGGCATGGCATAGGGGCCAGAGGTTGATGGCCAGTGGCAGGAAACCTAGGTTTTAAGGAAGTGCTTTAGGAGCTGATGTTATATGTGTGATTCCAGGGCCACACACCCCAACAGGAGCAGACAGGTTCTGGTTTTATAAGTTCTGCATAATACTTAAAAACCAAAGCAAAAAAAATGACTGTCAAAGTGATTGGCTCTGCTGAAACTGATGTTTGCTGAAGTGATTGCCTTACTCATCATTTCTAGATCTTCATTTCATATACTGCTTTATCTGTCATAGCCCCTGTTCTCCCAAATGGCAGTGACAGAGGCAGCTCTGGTTTAAAAAAAGGTCTGCTGACTCTGCCACCTGCCTGCCAAGAGCTGGGAGAAGTAGGAGTCGTATCAGTTAATCCACTAAGACTGCGTTTAATAAGGTTCTAGCTAGGTGGAGCTATTCTTCCATTCAACACTTTTAAACATGTAGGTCAGTCACTGGCTATAGGGCATATGTAAAGCTGGTCAAATGGCACATCTGTGGATTTGACCACTTTCCCTGAGTAGAGACCAATGGTTCTCAACCACGGATGATTTTGTTTCTCTCACCCCTCTCCACAAGACATTTGGAAATGTTGGGAGACATTTGTGGTTTTCACAGCTGGTGGGGGAGTGCTACTTACATCTGGTGGGTAGAGTCCCGGGATGCTGCTAGGCATCCTACAGTGCACAGGACAGCCCCCCTCCCCCGAAAATAATTATTTTACTCAAAATGTCAATAGTGCTGAGGTTGAGAAACATAGGTCTAGGCTACAGTGTGGATCAGTTCTTAAAGTCCCGACTACTCATAAGGTCCAGGCTCAGTGGGATAATAATTAAGGCTAGCAAGTGTCTATTAAATTGGGAAGGAAAAAAATTAGGAGTCAGTGGAACTGTGGCCTCCATAAAACTGAAGGGCAGGTATAACTGGAGTGTGTTTGACTGCACTAGAAGGCTAAGAGCTAAGGTCATAGTGCAACTGGAGATGAGGATTTCAGATGTGTAGCAAGTCTGTGTAAAGATGAGGTCCCGGGTACAGCCACAGGAATAGCGAGGAGCAAGTTTAAACAGTCTGACTTGTGATACAGCAGTCAACAGCTGAACCTAGTAGGGAAAACATTCATTAAACAGATGAGTATCTGGTGAATATGAATATACCAGTTTTTCTCAATGTTTTTGTAACCCATAGCTCTACTTCTCATATTACCTAAAAATCTCACATTTTCCCACCTTCAGTGCTATTTAAAATTTCACAATTAAGTATCATGACTAAAAATCAAAGCAACGGTAATTTTGTAAGGCAAAATTTATTCAGATGATGTGATAACCCAGTCACTGTTAAGCCTTAACTTTTCTTTCCTGGGTGGTGTAGAAGATGTAACAAAACACAAGCTGCTTTAACAATACTCTGGTACTGCTTTCTCCGCAGAGCTAGATATACCCCCTCCCCCCAAAAAAGCTTTTAAGATGTAAAGAGAAAACGGAATGAATTCTTCTCATCTTTTTAGACATTTTATATCCCAATTTCTCTAGAGTCTTTATCTGGAAGTTTCTAGTCAAAACAATCAGACTTTCTACATACTCCTCTTGAAGTTCTTTCAGTGAGGACCAAATATCAGTGAAAACATTCTTTCCAAAAGCTACCACGGGTAGGTTTTAAGAACAACGTCAAGAACAAATAGTTCTGGATATTTCATGTTTTTTTTCTTGAAATAACTTTTATGAATCTAGTCCTTCAAAGATGGCCAAGCAAATTGGACATTCTTAGTATAAGTTTGCTATGTGTAGCTGGATTTTTGGTAAGTTTTGCTTAAAGTATTTCTTTTTTTTTTTTGCTTAAAGTATTTCAAAACAAGCAGGGATGTTGGTGCTTGCATTTTGACATTTCATGGTCTATGTGTTTTAAGCTTCAATGCATTAAATTCTGCTGAAAGTTTTAATTTATGAAATTTTAAAGTACAGATTCTCTTTAGGTGGTGTTCCAAAATCAGAGGGTTGTTTTGTCATTGGTGTTCCAAAATCAGTTCTGTCCATAAATTCAGCTGAATACAGTTGACAACCAAGGAACCTCAGTATGTAACAGAAAATACTCTTCAACAGCATTCTGAACAGATCTTCAAAAATCAAGGCAAACTGGGATTGAATCTACCATTTTTCACAAAGGTTAACTGACAGAAAGGTGAAGATTTCCAGTAGATTATGGGCCAGTTGATGGAAGCTGATGCCTGGTGGTGATTGCTACAGTACATCTTAAACACAGTTTTCTTCAGTTTTTGCCAAAAACCCAGATCTAAAACACTACTGTAATGGATACCCTTATAATATTATAATTTTCCTCCAACTCAGTTCATTTGCTACAGCTTCAAAAATACTGTCTTTAGTGGTCAAGTATTAGGCTTATGAAACCAGCACACTCAAGAGTTTTTAAAGCCTATTTTAAACATAAGCAAAGCACATTTTTATCAGATTCTTCTCAACTAAGCAAAGAAGGCTGAGCTGATGTTTTTAAAACATGAAGTTTGATATACTCAGTCATCAATCCAGAGTTAAGACTGCAGACGTAGATGAAGAAAGTCTGGAATTCCACAATTTCCTCTCAAAGTTGTGGCAGCACTTGGAATGCAAGGCTTCACAAGTTTCTCCATTTTTTTCTCCTTTGCAATTAAAAGGGCTATTTAATACTATGCTTTCATAGCCTTTGAAGATTGCTGTTAATATTCCAATACTGTCCAATCTTAAAGCTGCAGAGAATTGTGCTTTGCAGAATACTCCACTGTTGTTATAGCATAAATTTAACAGTGTTTGGCATGGTGTCACTGCCCAACATTTTCAGGTAACTCAGCTGAAGAAGTTCACCCTATCTTCTGCGTCATAACGTGAATACATACTTGATAAAAGCCTCAGAAAATTTTTTGGCTGCCATCTTTAGCTACCTCAAAGGAGAAAACAGAAAAAGGAGTACTGATGGTGGAAGCATCTGGTCCTTCTTGGAGAACGATGAGTGATTTTATTGGCGGCAGCTGGGTGGCAGAGCAATATAGGCATCCAGTTATGCCTGAGCCCCAAGAAGTGAAATCTTTGTTCATTTCCTTTTTATACACCCATCTGCCGCCTAAAACCTGACACCATTTAATGGTGCCCTTGGTCAAATCTATAAATGATCTTACTTTCATAATCCTCTGATTCTAGCTTGAAGAGTCAAGATGAACTCTAACTCATGGGATGGACAAAATGGGAGATGCAAATAAGTAAGCTTTTCAGAGCTAAAAAGCCTCTTTTTATACAAAATTAAACTTTAAAAGAACATTGACCTCAAAACAACATAACTGTCTTGGATATGCTATAAAAATAGCAGTATGTTCCCACCCACAGTGAACATCTGCAGCTACCCAACCTGTCATACCTCATTAATTATAGGCCTTACTCTGAATGCTGCTTGTTCTATCTTTGTACTCCCACCAGCCAAGGAGTTCTTTCCAACTTTATTTCTTATGAAATGTTTTTTCTTTTTAACATTACAACACTATAATTTTGTAAACTATAACTCTTCGCCATATCCGCAATGCTAATATAATTTGTGAGGGAGAGAATGCCTTTCTCTCCTATTCCTAAAAATCACTGACTATTCCTTGAGTCTGTGAGTGACAACACTCTACTCAGTCCCTAAAACTAAAAAACTTGCTTACCTCCAAAGTAGATAAAAAATGTGTTGAATTGGTAGCTGACAAAAATTCACTGTAACCAGAACTGTGTGATGGATAATGCATAATATTAAATAAACCATTATACAAAAATAGTTTATTATAATGATTATTATTATGAGAGTTTATTCAGTAAAATTCTAAATTATGCTACTGTAATGTTATGTTGAGCAATGAAAGGCAGTAACAAAACTATGTCATCAATTACTAAGTTTATACATACATAAAAAATTTTTACCTCTTCAATGTAATTCCTATGTTTGGCAACACCATCTACCTAAATTCTGGTATATGGTTGAACATAAAAGTTTTATTTCCTTTTAAATATTCTATATTTTGAAAGGGTTTATCCCCAATTTGTTTTACTTGGTTTTGGTGTTTATATTTACTGGTATGCTTTATAAGTAAGAGTGTTCTCTGGCTTCCCTGGTTGAAAAGACCATCTCTTTTCTCCTGTCTAAATTGGCTTTCAATTAAAATTTCAGTTTTGAAATCCTTTCAGAAAATTCTAACAGAGGATTGAAAGGTTACCTTCTTACATCAGCTTCAGTGTACTAAAACCCAGAAGTACAGGACATAGTTTCTCGGGGCAGCAACCTTTGTTACCCTGGGGAAAGCATGGTGCTAGGGTTTGTGCTTAAAGTCAAGTTCGTTTGATGAAATTAGCAGTGATTTGTAGTTAAGATTTGTGTCTTATGTGTCCACTTACCAGTAACTGTAAGTTGGAAGAGTATGATAGTAGCTAATGTACGATGTCTTAGGACAGTGTTCTGTTTATGTTTTGACTGCAATCCAGAGTAAGCAATACATTTTACTCTCAGACCAAGTATACACACGTGTACATAAATTTAAAAGTTTCATAAGACAGTGTTTACCTTAGTATGTTCCATGCACTCTGATATATTCTGTTTAATATTAAAATAATGCTGGGTATGACCCATTTATTTTAAGACCCACTAATTGGTCAACCCCCACAATTTGAAAACCACTGCTATAGGAGAACATGAGGAAATGTTTTATAAACTGTAAAGTACACTGAAATGTGAGCAGCTGCTAATGAATATCCAGGATAAGACTTTTACGGGCCTGAGACATTCTCTCCTTCCTTGGGTACTGCTAGGAGTCACATTCACCTAGGCTTTTGGTAAGGAAGACAGTATTCAAACTGTCATTGAGACAACTGTATTAACCAAATCAGAACCCAAAGAAAAGAAGACAAGTTAGAGGAATATGAAAAAAAGCATACATCTGCTTAGTGCTTTATGGTTTATAAAATACTTTCACATACATGATCTCTTAATCTTAAGCCTAGGGGAAAATAAGCTAAGAGGTAGAGACCTGCCCAAGATTAGACAGTAAGTGGCAGAGCCAGGTCATCTGTTCCTAAATCCCTCACTCCTTTCACTGTGATAAAATACCAGGAAAGGAGAGTGATCAGGGCATGAGGCTTCTGATCCATCAAAAAGATGTTTATGTCCTCTGCCTCCCTCTGTAGGGAAAACAGACCCTACTGATGGGTGAGGAAGCAACCTCAGACTTTGGGAAGGGGGTGTGTCCAGTTGCACTTAATCTGTCCAGGACTCAAACCTGGCATTTCAGCCTATCAATACCAGTCATGTTTTTTTTGTATGTGTGTTTTTTCTCCAGTCATCTGTTTTGACACTGCTCTGAGTTCCCAAATGTCTATTATCTACAAGTCTTATGGCTTTCCATTCCTATGTGTTAAGGGTCCTGGGATCTTGGTCAGGTACACACTCAGGACTCAACAGAGGGAAATCAAATACTAGGGATATGTCACCTATACTCAGATTGAAAGGGAATAACAGTAGTAAGCTTCTGGTGACTGTTGTGTCTTTGCTTAGCTTCCCCTGGGGAAGCCAGTCGGCCTCAACCAATTTGTCTCCTTTCTCTACATATGCCCATCTCCATTATTGTGCCCTCATCTCTCACAAAAAAGAGGTTCAACTAGCAAGTACCCATCTCTCCCAGCTCCCCTTTTCTCTCCGCTCCCTTCAACCCCTCACCCTCTTTCCCCCTTGTGCCTCTCACCTTGTACTCCTGCACCACCTCCTCCAATGGCACCACGCTGTGCTGTTTGTGGCTCCTGGATTCTCTGCACACTACACAGATGGCCTCTTTGTCCACCTCACAGAAGAGCTTCAGGGCTTCCTGGTGTTTGGAGCAGATGCCCTGGTCATTCCCCCAGCTTCCTCGATAAGGAGTGGGGCACATTTGGCGAATTATCTGGACCATGTTGGCCAGCTGCAAGTTGGGACGAAAGCTGCGACGTGTAAAGCTCTTTCGGCACTGGGGACAGGTGAACTGACGTGGAGGGGCCGGAGGAGGCAGGTGGGTGTCAGGATACAGCTCTTGGTCGTCCTCATCGTATTCTTCCAGTATCTCCTCTTCTGGGTAGACGTCAATTCTCAGGTCATGTCTCAAGCCTCCCAGGTAATAGTCCCGGTCTTCCTCCTCCTCTTCCTCCTGGTCCACGTTGTCCCAATTCCTGACGCCACCGTCACCAACCCAGAGTTCATCATCTTGGTCCTGGAACACCTCATCAGCATTGCCCTGGTACAAAACCTCTCGAATAGAGTTGTCCCATCCACCGATGGCCCCCTCCACATCGTCGTCCTCGTCGTCCTCCCATTCATCTTCCTCCTCTTCCCTGTCGTCCTCATCTTTGCCCCACAGCTGGGTCACACACCCTCGGCAGAAATTGTGCCCGCAGCCTATGGACACAGGATCCTTGAAGTAATCCAGGCAGATGGCACAAACCGCTTCCTCCTGAAGGGTCTGCATGGGGTTAGGAATAGTGGCATAGCCAGCCATTTTAATGCGCAGCCTGTGTGTGTGGATGCCTCAGCTCGGAGCTGAGGAGCTGGGGGACTGCTTTGCGGGCCTGCCTCCAAGCTACGCTTGTGACCCAGGGCTGTTCTCAACCCTGCTCTTCCTCCTCAGGCCCGCAGAGATGCCTTCCTCCCTTCCCTCAGGCTTTTTCCAGCTCAAGGCGCGAAAGCCCGCGGTCCAGACTCAGCCGCCCCCCAAGGGCAGCGGGGGCTGAACCAGGCTGCAGCCTCCACTTTCCTTTGAGGCTCAGCTTGCAAACCCAGATCCTGACGTTTCTTGCTTCCCTCCAGGTTTACCCGATCCAGCGGCGTCCTCCTCAGGTGTCGACACTCCTCACCCAGCCCGAGGCGACAGAAAATGACGTAGGCGCTCTAACCCACACTCGGGAAGGGGTAGACTGAGCCGACGGAGGACCACATTCTCTATGATGCCCCAGGGGACGCCACAGCTGGGAGCCCGGCCGGCCATGCAGCCAGCCCGAAGAAGAAAAGACTAGTGAGAATAAGTAGAGGTGGAAAGAATCAATTTAAGCCATTGAGCGGCTTACCGCCGCTCCAGTTAGCCAGATACATGAGATCCGGCAGTCTCACCGGAGCCAGTACGCAGGAACCGACCCAAAACGGGGGGGAGTGAGGCGGCCAAGCTCGAGCTCTGGTGCACTTCCGGCCCTTCTAGCCGGAGACCTTTGTGGTAGTGAGAACGCCTTCTCAGAGGCTGCGCTCGGGCGCGGGGGCGTGCGCTGCAGAAACGCAGCGAGGTGGGGCTTGCGGTGGCGCGGAGTTGCTGTGAGGGCTAAGGATCTCGCGTGGGGGCTCGCGTGCCTCCCAACTTTTCTTCTCTAAACGGTTAACCCCTTTATTTTTATATTTATTTATTTGAGAGACAGAGTGCAAGCGAGAGAGTATAAGCAGAGGGAGAGGCAGAAGCAGGCTCCCTGCTCAGCAGGACCCTGGGATCACGACCCGAGCTGAAGGCAGCCGCTTAACCGACTGAGCCACCCAGGCGCCCCCAATTAACTCCTTTAGTGCTGCCTGCAGAGCCTCGGCCTCCTAGCCCTGATCTCTCCCGCGACTTTTACTTCTATGTCCATCAGCACTGTCCTGCGACCACTTAGATACCTCAGACTCAGCATGCCCTACACTGACTTCTGTAGATCTTTTTTGCCTTCATTGATAATGCTTCCATTCACCGTCCACTTACCTATCTATGCACGCATGCATGCATCCATTCATCCACCCAGCTACCCATTCATTTTAATTCCATCCATCATATACATACATAACCCATCCATTTATCCATCCACTTTACAGGAACAAAAATGTAAGGCATGATCAATCCTTTCAAGGAGTTCAGAGTTCTAAGTGTGTGGTTTTCCATAACCCAAGGTTTTACAAGGTTTACTCGACCCTCACTAAGAAATGCACTGCACATGTTAATCCAATACAGACTTGTACATATATAACAGAAACAGAATTTCCCTTATGGCATTCAAGGCACCCTGATATGTTCTGTTCTATTTTCCCTAAGTAAGATGCTGTTCAAGATCCACTGGTATGATTGAACCCCTCATTAATTGGTCACTGTTTGGTTTGAGGAACACCACCTGCCCTAATGGAATCTTCAAGGCACCCTGGAATCCCTCCTCTCCTTCTCTGGGCCCAAACTTGAATCGTAGGTTCTACAGAGCAAGGATGGTAAATGTGCTGTTAACATTGTACATGCAGCTTCTCTATCATAGTGCTGATGGACATATAGCAAGTACTTCTTACATATCTGCTGAGTAAATAATGAACAAACCCAACAAATTGCAACCATCAAGTCCTGCTGATTTTTATTTCCTCAAATCTAGGCCACCTTCTCTGTCTCTGTTCCTGCCATCCTAGATCTGACCCCATCAGGTTCTGGCTGGACAAAAAGTTTCCTAAAGGGTCATGTGCACTCATTTCAGTCCATCCTGCAGCCAGCAGAACCATCTGCCTGAAACAGAAGTCTGACACACACATGCCAGGCTGTTGCCTCTATGTCTTTGGGCATATTCTCCCACCTAAACGGCTTTTGTCTCACTGCTTCACCCAGATATAACTCCCTAATTATCCAGGTCTCTGCCTAGGCATAATCTGAAGGAGATTCTTCCACGAGGCTGGTCCCAGGCTGTTTTAGCACCCCACATCTGTTACTTTCTGAGTGACCTTGGATTAGTTTCTTAACAACTGTGCTGCCATATCCCCATCTGCAAAATAAAGATGATAGTGGCACACACATTAGGGTTGTTGTGAAGTTGGTATTCCAATTCCAATTATTGACATCCGTAATTAGAACGGTGCCCACTGGGGTTATCCCCATTACCTACCATTATATTCCTTTCCTGTAGTAGACAAGCCATAGAAGAAACTCACCCCATCTCCTGTTCTCTTCCTCTTTGAATAGGATCAAGAGATTGGGACACTCTGGTGAAAAGTAGCCCACCATCTGTCGTTTAGTGGTTCTGAGAGCCTTATGTTTGGAGAGGGAGGGAGTTGAAACCCAGCCTTGACGTGCCTACAGTGGGGCACCTATTGGGAGTGTTTGTTAGGAAACTAACAAATTCCCAGTACGCAATCTGGGACACTTCCCAGAGGTCCTGACTGAGCCTGAGGAGCCATGAGGGAAAATCTGAGCAACAAGAAGTGGAACTGTGTTTCAGGGCTGGAATACTCACCCATCTCTGAATGCAGGTTCTACCTTATACAGCAGCAGCTGGGGAGCAGAACAAGGGAAGAGGGGGCTGCTCAAAAGCAAATTCTTGCCTGCCGTTGGGGGGGGGGTGTACTGAACCCAGGAAGGAAGGAGGAGAGCTGAAGGAAAAGAGCAAGAGGGAACATGTACAGGGAGAAGAGGGTGAGAGAAGGCTAGAGGGAGCATCTTGGAGGAACTGGTAAGACTTAAAAGGAGCATATAATGGATACCCATTCTGAAGAATACCTAGGTGTATAAGAATCTTTAATACCTATTTCTTTTATCTTCTCTAAATTACCGTTCCTCATATCCAAGTGCCAGCTGGAAGGGGCTTCTTTCATATTCCCTCAGGTTGTTGTAAAGCCTCTCTTTCTGGGTTAGAAGAGAGGCTTGGTTTTAAGCCCCCTTGCAAGCCTGGCATCCCTGCAACAAGGCATGCTTCTATTTGCAGGAGGACTGCTCGCTGTCTCTTGAATCCAAACTTGGAGCTGTGGGTTGTCAGAACAGGTGACCTGGCACACCCAGGGCATCAGGCCACTTTCTCAGGGCATTGGGAAAATGGCAGCGGTGGGGGGTACTCACAGGCTGGAGCTTAGCAATGGTGGTAGCTGCTGATGTATTTTTCACAGGACTTGCAGAAAACGTATCCATGGAAACTCACATCAGCTTTTTTTTTTTCCCCCTAAGATTTTAAGTAATCTCTACACCCAGGGTGGGGCTTGAACCCACAACCCCAAGATCAAGAGTTGCATGCTCTTCCCACCAAGCCAGCCAGGCACCACTCACATCAGCTTTTTTAGGCTGGAGAAGCCCGCACAAGAGTTCAGGTGCAGGGGCGCCTGGGTGGCTCAGTTGGTTGAGCGACTGCCTTCGGCTCAGGTCATGATCCTGGAGTCCCTGGATCGAGTCCCTGGATCGAGTCCCGCATCGGGCTCCCTGCTCGGTGGGGAGTCTGCTTCTCCCTCTGACCCTCCCCCCTCTCATATGCTCTCTCTCTCAAATAAATAAATAAATAAATAAATTCAGGTGCAGATAATTTTTTTTCTTCTTTTTTTTTATTCATTCGAGATACAGAGATACAGAGAGAGAGAGAGAGAATACGAGCAGGGGGAGAAGTAGAGGGAAGGGGAGAAGCAGGCCCCCCGCTGAGCAGGGAGCCCGACGTGGGGCTCGGTCCCAGGACCCTGGGATCATGACCTGAGCCGAAGGCAGACGCTTAACCATCTGAGCCACCCAGGTGCCCCTTCATTTTTTTTTATTATGTTCAATTAGCCACCGTATAATACATCATTAGTTTTTGATGTAGTGTTCAATGATTCATTAGTTGTGTATAACACCCAGTGTTCATCCCAACATGTGCCCTCAATACCCACCACCCGGCGACCCAATCCCCCCACCTGCCTCCCCTCTGAAACCCTGTTTGTTTCCCGGAGTCCATAGTCTCTTATGTTTCATCTCCCTCTCTGATTTCTCCCCCTTCAATTTTCAATCCCTTCCCCTATGGTCCTCTGTGCTATTCCTTATATTCCACATATGAGTGAAACCATATGATAATTGTCTTTCTCTGACTGACTTATTTCACTGAGCATAACCCCCTCCAGTTCCATCCGTGTTGATGCAAATGGTAGGTATTCATTCTTCTGATGGCTGAGTAATATTCCATTGAATATATGAACCACATCTTCCTTATCCATTCGTCTGTTGAAGGGCATCTTGGCTCTTTCCACAGTTTGGCTATTGTGGACATTGCTGCTATGAACATTGGAGTGCATGTACTCCTCCTTTTCACTACATCTGTGTCTTTGGGGTAAATACCTAGTAGTGCAATTGCTGGGTCTAGGGTAGCTCTATTTTTAACTTCTTGAGGAACCTCCATCCTGTTTTCCTGAGTGGTTGTACCAGCTTGCATTCCCACCAAGTGTAAGAGGGTTCCCCTTTCTCCACATCCTCTCCAACATTTGTTGTTTCCCGTCTTGTTAATTTTTGCCATTCTAACTGGTGTAAGGTGGTATCTCATTGTGGTTTTGATTTTGTATTCTGCCACATTGCTGAAAGGACCGCCTTTGCAGTATCCCATAGGTTTTGGACCGATGTGTTTTCATTCTCATTAGTTTCCATGAATTGTTTAAGTTCTTCCTTAATTTCCTGGTTGACCCAATCATTCTTTGGTAGGATGCTTTTTAATTTCCACATGTTTGAATTTCTTCCAAACTTTTTTGTGATTGAGTTCCAGTTTCAAGGCATTGTGCTCTGATAACACGCAGGGAATAATCTCAATCTTTTGGTATCAGTTGAGGCCTGATTTGTGACCCAGTATGTGGTCTATTCCAGAGAAAGTGTGCTCGAGAAGAATTAGCATTCTGTTGTTTTAGGGTGGAATGTTCTGCATATATCTACGAAGTCCATCTGGTCCAACGTGTCCTTCAAAGCTCTTGTTTCTTTGTTGATCTTCTGCTTAGATGATCTGTCCATTGCTGAGAGTGGAATGTTAGGATCTCCTACTATTAAATGTATTATTATCAATATGTTGCTTTATTTTGGTTAACATCTGGCTTATGTAGTTGGCTGCTCCATGTTGAGGGTACAGATATTTACAACTTTTAGATTTTCTTGTTGAATAGACCCTTTAAGTATGATATAGTGTCCTTCTACATCTCTTACTACAATCTTTGGTTTAAAATCTAATTTGTCTGGGTGCCTGGGTGGCTCAGTTGGTTAAGCGACTGCCTTTGGCTCAGGTCATGATCCTGGAGTCCAGGGATCGAGTCCCGCATCGGGCTACCTGCTCAGCAGGGAGTCTGCTTCTCCCTCTCCCGCTCCTCCCTCTTGTGCTCTCTCTCTCACTCTCTCTCTCAAATAAATAAATAAAATCTAATTTGTCTGATATGAGAATTGCTACCCCAGCTTTCTTTTGAGGTCTATTGGCATGATAAATGGTTCTCCATCCCCTCACTTTCAATCTGGAGGTGTCTTTAGGTTCCAAATAAGTCTCTTGTAGACTGCATGTGGATGGGTCCTGTCTTTGTATCCAATCTGCAACCCTGTGCCATTTCATGGGAGCATTTAGGCTGTTCACGTTGAGAGTAACTACTGAAAGATATGAATTTATTGCCATCATATTGCCTGTAAAG